TACAGTAGCCTAGAAGGGACAAACAAAGCACTGGCTCTAGATAAGGGCGTTTTATGCGTGTTTTGCAGTCACCATAGTTTCTCCCTCACACTTGGAAAGGGAGGGTGAAACGAGTAAGTTGCCACTGAACTATACGAATAGATGCCACTAAATCCGACACACTGAATCCTCCACAAAGAGCACTGTCCTTTACTTCCCTTATCTTTGATTGGTTTTCAATTATAGAATCGTAGGAGAATATTAACTGTATAGAATAAACTAAAACATATCTGCATTTTTATTTGCAAGCATTCTTTTCAGGCTACATACTAACCTAACAACTATCACTAGTAAAGAAGGGCAGCAATTATACCCTGAGAGACACAGCCAGGGGCAAAATAAGTCAGGAAATTTCTTTCATCTGGACTATGGTGGCTGGACACAATACAGAGAGACATTAGTAACAAAATCAACCTGAAGCATAAAAATAAGCGGAACAGAAATTGTTTAAGGAGTAATGAGTGAGTGAGTGATTTTCAGACACAGCCAAAGAGTTTTAGGTCATTCCACACCTGTCCTTTCAGCCTGCATCCCACAGTAAGTCTGCATCATCTTTCTGTGTGTTCATCTCAAACACTGTGGCTGATCAGATCTATAGACTCCTCTTGCTACTATGACAGTGGCCAGGATGCCATTTGGTGGTCACATTCTAAAGTACAGTACCATGCCTCTCTATGGTTACAGCAAGTGTGGCCCTAGTAGACCCTAACCCTCTTCATGTCGTTCTAGCCCCCGCTGTTCTGTCTTGGCTAACATCCAAGGGACCAACCTCTACAGAGATCACAAAGATTACCTGCATGTAAGTTTGTTAAGTGAAATCAAATAAACATAACACTGCTGGGTGGTTTCAGTTCAGTGTTGTTGTGACACCCTACTGAATCACCTTTGTTTTCTTCATGATGCTTTCCTTATCAGATATTCGAACCAAAGGGAGTAAAAATCTTCAGGATACCCTCGCCTATCTTCTTCGCCAATATTGAGTTCTTCAAGGACAAGCTTGTAGAAGCTGTATGTACGAAACATCTCTCCTCTGCCTCAGTTTGCTTTACTCATAAAATGTATAAAGGTGTGTATGAACATGAACACACAACACTTGGTTGTTCCAGGTTGGGTTTAACCCTCTAAGGGTTTTGAGGAAGAGGAACAAGGCTCTCAGGAAAATCAAGAAACTCTTGAAGAAAAGTAATGATGACACTACAGAGGTGAGACCTTCAATGCTCTAGAAACTACTACACCTGTTTCAAAGTGTTCTCCCAAAAAACTCTAAGCGACCTTTCGTGCATCTGTCAAACAGAAAGGTTTTAGGGATTTATTTAGCCAGACGACTGATGACATGAACATGGAGGAGTTGGATCTGCCCACTGACCTCAAGGACCTTCCTTTCCGGATGGACTGGAACGCCGAGCTTCCCCCTAACATCAGCGTTCCCAGAGTGGACCTCCACAGCCTGATCTTGGACTTCTCTGCTGTCTCCTTCCTGGATATATCTGCTCTGAAGGGACTCAAAATGGTATAAAGTCACACAGTTGATGGCATTGTAGAAGGTGTCATCTTCACAGCAAGCCAACCAAAAAGTGGAAAATATCATGTTTTCCCAAAAGCCCAAGGCACCCTGATCAAATTGTCCAACCAACAGTCCAAAACCCAAAGGTGTTCCATTTGTTATCACAGAAGAGTAGGAAAAGCAGCAAATATTCCTTTTTTAAGAATCTGAAACCAGTGAAACAATTATTTTCTTTTAGATTAACTAATCAATTAAATGACTAATTATTTCAGCTCTAAATGAGACTAAAAGCCCCCCAGTTACAGAAGCCATTGTTGCAATTATTATTTTAATGCTGTTATCTTGAGAAAAGGAAACAACCTTTTGTTTTTGTTTTTTGCTTTTTTTTAGATAATCAGATAAAAGACCTTGAGATTTTGAGATGGCAGCCTTAAAAAAATTTGCAATCACAGCAGTTTTTGGCTTCCATATCCAGTGGTTCACCATCAGAAGGTTTTTTAATTGAGGCAGTAGCAGCAGCAATGGTATCTTTAATAGTATGAAAACAAAATACATTTACACGCACTTAGCTTCTACAAACAAACTTTTAATTTTGGCAATATCCTTTGGTGCAACGCCCATTCTGTTGTGACTTTGTGTTTAAGGTTTTACAATTCAGTGTCAAAAAGACTGTAACATTCCTTGGATTTTCTGTTGGTGCATTTTGGATGTCTATAGGCAGAAATATTTTTTTATTTATTCCAAATAAATCAAATTGGACCTGTAAATCTTTAGGTGAATCTCCAGACACTGTTCAGAATACTAAGTAAAAAATGGAAAAAATGTATTAAAAAAGGTTTGATACTACCCTTCCATTTTAATTTATGGCCAAAAACACCTTTAGACTTTAGCACACCAAGGTGGTCAAATTAATTGAGAATCCAACATATGTATAGGCCTATACATATAACATATATATGTACATCGCATTCATCCGCTGCATATGTGAATCAACACATACAAATGTGGGATTTACATTATAATATATTTCTAACTTAAAAACTATCTGCATTGCAGACGCTCAAAGAGTTCATCCACATTGACGTGGATGTTTACATCGTTTCCTGTGACGGTGAGTGTTAATATTTCATAAAGCGCAATATTCCAGAATCAGTGATGACACATTTACTGAGTATTATGTGAAATTGTCTGTGAAAACCACTAACATGTCTCTCATGTGTCGACAGCATACATCCTGGAGAAACTACACAGTTGCATGTTCTTCGATGATGAGATTCTGACCTCCATGTTCTTCCCGACCCTCCATGACGCCATGCTGCATGTGCTTGACAAACACAAAGACAAAAAAAGCAATGGCAGGGTGGTAAGTAAAACTATTTATATATCATTCTTTCTGTACTGGGCTTCTGCATGGATGCTTTGTATAAAAAATATATAAATTACTTCTGGTGGCCCCTAGAAGTGGCACTACGGTATGGAAGATTTAAAATGCCTAAATAAAAACAAATCAAAGAAATAAAGTGAAACACAATTGCTATTGTAATATGTATTCCCTTGGAATGTATGCATTTACTGTGCCATAATTAAATTTAAAACACAAAAGGAGAATTATTTTGTGTTTAATAACTGAATGTTTTTAATGTGATGTGAATTTTCTATGGCACATTCAAATCAAACCACAACTCAGAAAACAAAGTGAGGGGGTGCATTGTGTTTCAGTGTTGTCCAGCAGAGGGCAACGTAGATGTAATATTTCTGGAAAACCAAGTTAGTATGAAAGACGTGACCAGACAATGTAAAGCTTGTTTTGTATACAAGCTTTGTAACTCACTGTTAGGACTTGACCATTCATGTGAGATGTTTCTTATATTCTTTTCATGATTTTTTATCTTTGAAATTATATTTTCTTATTATTATTACTGTTGTTTAGGCTATTCACTTACTTAGTTTATTAAATAACGTATTTTTTTTTTATCATCATTCTCAGGGAGAATGTCTTGATGTGCAGAAAAAATATATTTATCCAGAATTGGGACTTTTATTGGAGTAGATAAAGGTTTTTGTGAGTCATCTTGTGTATTATAGCAGTTTCAATGCTTTGCTTTTTTTCATTTCATAGCTTTATAACTCTGGCACTAACTGGACTATTTTTCTTTTTCAGTTGACAGATACCAAACTCTAGCGGAAATGGAAGATCATTTCAAAAACACCACTCAACCACTCATCACATACAATTAATTTGTAATCTACTCACCATACTACCACACCAGAATATTTTGCATGTTTAGTTTTTCTGCTAAAATAGTATTTTTTTGTTTTATTTTAAAATGCTGTTTTGCTAAGATGTGATTTTTTTTATCCAGGCTTGTTGTCACAGAACTTGTTACACTCTACTGTAGTGTCCTTTTTCATACTGTTTCTTTGAAAAATGCAGTATATTTTCAAAATTAAATGATACAAAAGCAAAGTTACATGTGTTAAATGTGTTCACCGTGTCAATCAAATGCATCTTATATACCCCGCAAATGTGTGTTGTCTAGATGGTTAAAACCAGTCCGCACTCAGACCATTTTTTTAAATGCTACCTGAACACATGCTAAATTTACATAAGATAAACAATGCTAATCATTGAAAGTTTGCATGTGATAAAAACTCCCAAAGAGCTGGCAAAGTTTATTAGCTAGTCCCTGATAAACAGGAAACACAATGTCCTTCAGTGTTTTGACCAGACAGCATGAACATTTTTTTTTTTGTACCAATCATGTTGTGTGTTAGTTTCTGACAAAGACACGAGACACAAAAAACACAAAAACCTCAACCTGGGGACACCAGACATAATCAAGGGACTGTCTTAAAAAGTAACACATACTTGGTTATTAGAAAACTGTTAATCAGAATTAAATGTATTCTTAGAAAACCTAAAAGATCTCCTCCAGACATGTAATACAACATATATAATACATAGTATGTTAGGAGCAATAACGTGTGTGAGATATTTTTTCTGCACATTTCTTTTTTCCAACATTAAAATCCTTAATAGGTCATCTAATTTACAGATATTGTTGATTTCTGCTGGACACAAAGTGTCTCCTACTTCACTGTAAAGTCCATTCTCAGTGGATGAGCACTGGTGGTCCAGTATGCAACTGTACAAGTTGCATACTGGACCAGGACTGACTTCCAAACTATTTGTGATGTCACAAATCATGCTGGTAGGCCCCGCCATTTAAAAATATGATTTTCAATGAGCACAGAGAAACTTTCCACTTTCAGCAGATGAATGTGAAAAGAATCAAACTCTGCACAGACAGCATTCAAACATCATGCTGTAGGAACAAGATGATAAACAGCTTTCTGATTGCAGGGGGACTTTTGTTGTTCCTAATAACCTCCAGAGCAAACAAACAGCTGTTATCCTTCATCAGTTGTCATATCAAACAGAGATGAGATGCAAATCTGCAGTTAAAAATTTATTGAGACATAGTTAGCGTCTTTCAATGTACAGTACATATGCGTGAAATCAACTGACATATATACAGAAATATTTACCATACGCTGCTATTAAAAAAAAGGGACATTCTGGCCTTTCTCCAAGTCTACTGTATGTTCAGCGGGAAGTTCAGTACACTTAACTAAAATGTGCAGCATACACACATTTGCTTTGGGGCAGTTTTATCAAAATGAAAGTCCTACATCCTGTAACCCTGAGGTTTACTATCACATTATGCAGACAAGTGGTATGGAACAGAATAACACAGCCCATTCACTCAGTTGGCAGTTTACTGATAATAAGGCCTGTAGCGGCCCTGATCTGGGTGATGTGGTCCAGGCATCTGGCCCTGGGGAGGAGGACCCTGCATTCGTGGCGGCGGGGGCCCTCTTGGAGCAGGCCACATCCCAGGACTGAGCCCTCCTGGTTGGCTGAACGGGGGACTGAGGGTGCCCTGGTCTTCTTGGAACTGCTGCATGGAATTGGGGTTGTAATGGTGTGGTGGGGGGGCATTGACAGGGGGGCCACTGTGTTGTGGTGGAGGTCCTGGGGGCGGGTGGTTCATATAGGGGGCATCTGGCCCATGATGTGCCCTGGTGGTGGTGTGATTGGTGGGGGAGCCGAGGACATGGGGGGAGGAGGGGCCTGGTTGTACACCATGTGTGGTGTCCCAGAGGCCTGAGGAGGATGCTGCATGGGATGGCTGATGGGAGGGGGCGGGGGCGGTGGGGGGCCAAAGTGCTGCTGCGGTGGCGCCATCATGTGGTGAGAGTGGGACACTACAGGTGGCTGGCCAGGATAGTCCCCGGGGTGGTGGTGGGGGGGCTGAGCTGGGCCTGGGCCGCCAGAGTGTGGCTCTCGAGAGGAAGAGGAGTCATCTTGGATGGGCACGGTAATCAGATTGCTGTGCTTACGGGTCGTTACCGTGGAGATGCGGAATGTCTCAGGACCAAGACCAGAGGTGGGGGGTGGGGCTTCGTGGGATGTGGGTGGGGGCGGCTGACTGTAGGGATCATGACTGCTGTGCTGGAGCGGGTTGGGGAGATGAACGTGGTTCTTGGGTAAGTGAGGTGGAGGCACACGGAACCGGTCAGGGACCTCGGACGCAGGGGGCAGGTGCACAGGCTCCTGGCGGCCAGCAGAAGACTTGGCTGCCCTCAGGTGGCGGTGGTTGACATGGGCCTGCAGGTCACGCTGGGACAGGTAGGTGCGCTTGCATCCCGGCACGACACTGCACATGTAGAGGGAACCACGCTGGCACTGCTCGATGCGCTGCACTGGGTCTGTGCAGTTGTACAAGGTGAGGCTGAACACACAGGGGCAAACGTTCAGTGACACACGGCCAGAATAAAACACACCTGAGGAGCATTACAAAATAGTTGCATAAACTTTTTAAGCAAAGTATTGCTACCTTAGCAGTCCTTGATTATTTAAAAAAAAAACCTTGTGACTCACTTAGAATCTTGCACTGCAAACTGCAAGGAATTGCAATATTCTCAACACATTTAAATAGTTAAAATGTTTCTAGAGAGAGCTCACCCAGGACACATCTTTTCTCCTTTCTTCTCGTGAAGCAAAGCACAGTCGTAGCAGAAAACGTGCTTGCAGGGGATCTGAGGAGTTAAGATGGCAAAAGTTACACATGGACATTTCTCTGGGACTGCCTGCACAGAAAGATCAGCTCAACAAAATGAAAGAACCCTTTACTGATTCCCCCAGAGGGTAAAATTTATTCATAAAACATACAAATACATACAGATACATACCATCCGTCCATATAGCTGAATAGGAAGACCACATTTATCACAAAAGTGAATTGGTACTTCATCCCTCTCTCCAATCAAATTTAACTGTTGAAAACAAGATGAAAATCACAGTTTAAACACACTCAACTACAGCTTCTAGGGTCTTTCTACTTCTTTGTTTGCTCATTGGAGATTAAACGTGAGAATTCTCCTCAGAAGAACAAACGGGAAGATAACCGTTTGAACCAGTCCGAGTTCAGGATTTCTGAGACATGACTCAGACTGTGCCAGACTTTACTGGGCTGTTTCACCCCCCACAGTTGACGTACCTTATAGTCCCAAAACAGTGGCTGGGGGAATCTCCTCTGACTTGCAAACACATCACCAGATTTAGCTCCACAATCAAACCTCTCCTCTTGCTTGAAGCCAAAGTTATCTGCACCACACGAGAGACACACATTAATAATGCAACGCAGAAAAACAGACGGCCCTAAAACCCAGATAAGTGGTTAGTTCGTGTCTAATTCAATTTGCCCTTCAGTAAAAACCAAGGCCTCATGTCAATTTATTGATAATTATGGATATCTCTAGAATATCAACCACTAAATGATTTGAGCCTTAAAAGTAAAAACGTTTGTATTCAAGTTTACAATTATTTACCTCCGTTGAGAGAATATATGAAGAGTAAAAGAAGTTCTACTAAAGCTTCCTGGTTGCACTAATTGCTAACACATCAGACACAAAATTCTTCTTCAAATTGTTTCAAGAGTTATCTATAATCTATATATATGGAAAAAGGGAACACTACACGGGCAAAGGGGGACCACTACAAACACTGACTGATCCTTGTATAGCTATTATTAACTTTTTTTTGGTCACTCACACACTTCTTATCAAGCTCAATTATAAAGACAGTAAAACAAAACAAACAAAAACAATGAGAACATGATATACAGTGTGTACCTGTATGAATCATAGACTTTAAATATGCACACTGTCTCATTCCCACTAAGAAGGCAGTTTTTTTAAGGTCTTAAATCGCACTTCTAAAAAAAGGCATGTTTGTGTGCGGCAGACTGTGCCTACCGTCTTCTCCAGCCTCACTTTTAGGTGGCCTGCTGCTGGGTCTCTGCACGCGGGGCTGAGGTTTGATCCTCAAGGGCTGCTTGGATATGAGTTTGATGGGGATTCGTCTGCGAACATCTGGGCCGCCCAAACTCCCAGAGCCATCGCTTCCTTGAAGATCATTGTCTGCTTGGGCAAAAGGTAGCACGGAAATCCAGAGTCACACCCACCCGACAGGATTTTAAAAAAACGATAAGTACAGAATTTAAATGACAAGTTGGAAGCCAATAACAGAACGAGCTTGCGGGAAAAGATGCTTGAAGTAAGGATGCGCAAATGCACTGTCACAGGGTGTGTCATAGTGGCCCCTACCTGTACACAAGGCTTAAAACTACATTACAATCCTTTATTATGCTGGGAATGCTACAGAGGGGACACGTTTTCTCACAGTAGGGATCAGGGTGTGAAATTAACTTGTACACATCTACCAGCCACTGAAGCTATATGTTCAGAGTCATCAGCCATTTCATAATAAAGCATTATGTTGTGTCTGAAACAGTCACTTTGATATTTTACCACGTTTGGTTGGTGCTGGTTGACCAAGAATGATAACTTACATTACAAGTCAATAACGTCTGAAAACGTCCTGTAAACTCGGATCGTTATATTTGTGTCATCACATCCAAATCCATCTAATGTGAACGCAGTGGTCTGGGTTAAGGACTAAAAGCCAAAAAGCTAAGGGGACGACTTCAGCAAATATTGTGAAGACATGCCATTAGTTATGTGAGCTCTTTCCAACATCTTAGTTAGCTCAGTTAGCATTATGCTAACTTTGGTCAGTTAGCATTCGCGCCCCAACTCAACCGCAGCTAGCGGGTACGCCTACTAACATGAGGGAAATGAATGCAGTGTTCGCAATTTAACGCCCTAACTCTTTAAACTAGGTAGCAACATTACGGGTGACCTTATACATTCATTCAGAAGTTAACGTGAACTTTCGGTGAACACAAGTGTTGTGGCGTTACTCCATCGCTAGCCTGTGTTTAGCTATCGTTAGCCTGGACCATGCTAGCTATAAAGCTGCTCTGGGAGACAACAGGAGGCCGTAGCAAACCCGTCTCCTCCCAGGATGGTGTGCCGTTATCTGCAGCGCTGGTACAACAACAACTGTAAGTGCGTGGTGAAAAATATATCACATAAAAGAAGTTTGCTGCCGTCGGCCCTACTGGGCATTTTGCTTACCGCTTTGGTCCATGATCCAACGAGCGAGCGCAATGCATTGTGGGATAGATGGGCGAGGAGAAGAGGTGAAGGCAGAGGAAAGGAAAGTAAGAAGGGAGAGAGGCGGAAAGGGATGTGAGATGAAGATATGAGAAGAGAATATAAGTTAAGGAAAGAGAAAAAACTTTCAGGACTTGATGAATAAGAGGTAACCTCAGAAAGTAGAAACTCATGGATAATGTCTATCATTCATTACTAAATGTCTAATAACTTAGGGCTTACTCTAATATTAACGGATTCTGCTGGTAATTAATGATTTAAAATTAATTAAATCACATAAAACCTTACCTTTTAACAGTTTTCACATTCATATATGGTTTCATATCATTAATAGTCTTTAGAGTGTTATAAACAACTGTTATAAATCACTTCTTCTCTATGATGTGTGGAAGAAAAGCAAGGCCCACAGGGCACTGGGTAGGGGTCTCAACCTCAAATGGCTTGGGGCCCACTTCTGGTATGGTCATCTCAAAGGAGGGCCACTGCACAGTCCAAGTAGTACAAGAATGTGCAATATTTATGAAAATATTTCCATTGCTAGCATCATACTTAATTAAATGCAAACAGACGTTTCTATACATTTTATATAATCGTTGTTGTTTGCAGCCAAACAGCAAATTAGGCCCGGAACGTGTTCTCTTATTATCAGCCATTAACACCAAATAAAATATATATATTTTTAAAAGAATTGCATTTTTATTCAAATTGTATATGAAGGGTAGTTTAAATTTATATTAAACAACTAGAAAAATAATTAAAAAAAGAAGAATCTTGCAGGCCAGATTATATTTTTGACATCATCAGGCGGCTGGAGGGCCGGGAATGGCCCCTGGGCCGGCAGTTTAGGATCCCTGCCATACAGATCTGGATCTTATACGCAACCGAATACTTGATTGTGAAATTGAATCACTACTGAATACTTAATGTTGAAACTGAAATACCTCTTTATTGATTGTATTGAAATGTTTTATTTTGAAAACCACATATCTGATTTTAGCTGGTTAGAATTTCCCTTCCAAGAGCTCATTTCAAGTAATGCAAAAACTTGATATCAAGAAACTCCAGGCTACTGTGGATAAACAGTGGAGCCTAATGGAATTGATCAGACCTTTGTCCTATTAGGTTACATTCTGTCAGTCATATGATCCCAAGAAAGATAAGTTCGAGTGAGTGACTGGAAAACCATGACACTAGAATTTCCTATCTGAATATTTTTCAAATGGCACAATTTGAAATTCCCGTCTGAAAATATCAAAGAGGAGAACCTCATATATTCAGATAGATGGTTTTCTAAATAAAATATTTAAATTCTATTAATTTAGTGATATTTCAAATTTACAATTAGCTATTCTAGTGCTTATAAAATTCAAATTATTACAGCCCTTCTTCGCTTCCATACTCATAACTTGTGATGGATATATGTTATTATTGACATTTCATGGACTGAAACATTATGTATTATTCAATCAATAATAAAAAATAATTGCTGACTGCTGCCTTCCAGCCCACGTCACCTTATTTAAATAAAACTAATCTTATTTTGCAAATCTGCCTGTCCTGATTATCTCACTATTTAGTAAAGTCCACTGTGCTTAACTAGTCACACAACTGAAATACTGTGGGTGTGACCTTGTGTTTTATACATAGTACACGATATGCTATGCAATATATACAGTATACCTTAATATTGTTTTAAGATTAGAGGTCTGGCTCTGCTACAAAACACCCTAGTTGAAGAACCTCCCCATAGAGCATAGTCAGTGCTCCACCTGTATGGAACATTTATTATGTATATTTAAATTGAACCCAACAAAGAAACAGCAAAAATGTAAACTCTGACTTCTTATATTTACCCAAAATTCATACATTTTAGTATGACGGCCACTCCTTCTTGTCGCACGTAGATAGTTTTCTAGGTGCATTATCATAAATAATATATAACTATGGTAAGGAATTTGACAATTAGTTTAATTCTAAGTTAAAAGAGAACAGTGTCGCACTGTCGCATCATTCACTTCTCCAAAACCCTTTGCTGAGCTCAGTGCACTGCCTCAAGTCAGTGCACGTCCGTGTGGGTCTACTGCGCGCTCCCGTAACCATGTCGCCATTTTGATTCGAAAAATATGACTGAGTTTTTCCTGCTTTGCATGCTAAACTTAGCCCCGCGTTTGAATTACTTTGTGCGTGAGTACGAAACATACACTCTCTATCTGAAATAACAGGTATTGTTATTAATGGCAAGTAGCAATTGCTGTTGGGGAACAGTTTATTTGGTAGACTTCAAAGCCACATTTGACTAACGTTAGCCAAGTTGAGCTAGCTAACAGTAGCCTGTGCTGTCGCAGACTGACCCTTCAAAACAAATCACTATTCGCTCACAGGCTAATGTGTGTTAGCTAACACAGCTAGCTAATAGTTAGCTGGATAGCTAGTGACTTAGTAGCTGGCTGCTTGGCGAAAAACTCCACCAACAGTCTAATACAGACGGAAGGAATAGCAGCGGACTTTGAATCAAAGGTAAGTTTTGGACGGAAGGATCGTCGCGACTTTGAGCAACCAGCTAACGTTAACTCTGCTGCTGCATCGACAAAGTTGAACCTAAGTTGGAGAGCTATTTAAGTTGGCTAACTCAGCTTAGTACACGGTAACTGTTAGGAGCTAATTAGCCTACGTGCTAATCAGAGGAAAGGAGGAACTAACGTTAACGTTAGCTAAATTGTTTGGTAACTTGATAACTTCTTGCTCAAGGAAATCACCAATTAACACTCATTAAAAAACTAATGTTGACTAATCGGCTAACTTTACCAAAGGACTCTGTTTAGCTGTTAAATCACTTATCGCCAGTTAACGCAACAAAGTCGCTAAGTTAGGTTTAACAGTTGAAGTTGAGTGCCATCGAGGTTAACGTGAATTTTATTAACACTAATATGTTTCTTATATTACTGCATATATTTCGATTTTCCGATGTTGTCCATTAACTATTGAGGTAAGTAACGTTAGTTTAGTAGTGTTGTTCTCTGCAGCCATTTGGAGTTGGTTAAGGCCAGCAGCAACGAAGCCTTGCTCAGTTACAGAAATCGAGCTAACCTTAATGTTCACGTAACACACAGTCTGTTCATTAGTTACCGATGGATACAAAGAACGGGACCTCGTGTTCAAATGACGGAATGTAAATAACCGTATAATTAATGTAAAGTATATATACGTTGTTTTTGATCTTGGATTATTTGCTTGTGGTGCCTCAACTGGAGTTGAAGTAAACAGAAATCTGAGCTCCTACCGCAAGTCAGTTGATGTGCACTTCATGCCAAGGCTATGGCAGCTCAGTTTACATTTCTTTAGCTACACACAGTGTTTCTCTCATTGTTAGATAGTCCTAACTACCTTACGTAACAACATCTTACAATCGAGGCATGCAGATACATGTTTTTTTGTCATAGGTTTAACTTCCATTTTAAAATAGATCTGTATCGTTAGCTGTCATATGTTCTCACATCTCAAGTTATCAAAGTCTGATGCGATGGCTTATTTAGTTTGACAGCCAACTAACCCAAGGTAATGAATGTTATGAATTGGAGAAGCAACAGGAACTCTTAACATTTGTGAATGAATTTAATGAAGTCACTGGCCTTTATTCTCATAAAGAATCTTTAAATATTTTAGGACCACCATCAGTATATCAAACATTACATACAGATCTGTTTACCTAATTCTACAACTTCAGTGAACCTAATGTAAGTAAGCAGCAACAGGCTGACTAAAACTAAAACTAAAATAAAAGCTTTTTGTCCTCAAACTGTGCTATTGTACTTTGGTTTATCATTCAGTAGTACATGTTGTACGAGGTATCTAGTACAACGTACACTACTGATTATCAGTTTTGTACAAGGTATCTGGAACAGCATAATAAACAAACAGTTGCTACCAGTTGCATCTTTATTTACACTCAGTAAGTAAAGGAGAACTTGTGTAAAAGTGCAGGTGGAATTTCATTTTGCTTGATTTCACTGCGTTTTAACTTGCCTAATTACAGACTATTGTTGGCTCACTACATCCACATATATGGCCTTTACATGTCCCATTGTTCCTCTTTTCATCGTCTGTTATATGTGCCAGTAGACTGTTTTTGTTGAGGTTGCCTCTGGTGGGTTCTATTTTGGATGTAAAGTCAAGCATTTGCTTTCCTGCTCAGTGTCCACAGGGAGCGTTCAGCGGGTTATTATTGCACTTGTGTACTCTGTAAATGTATGCCAGATGGACGCTGCTGCATGCGCAGGGAAGGGTCTCCCCCCCCCTCCCCGGAAAATAAGGAAAAGAAAAAGGAGGAAGCACTTTGATTTCCTCCTTCAGTTTTACTTCCATGATCAACAGTTGATAGCATGTTGCACAGAGAGACATGTTAGCTTTGACAAAGGCAGAAGGGTTTTTTTTTTGTCACTGCTGGTGTGTTAGGTTGTCTAGATTAGCTGCCACAGTAACCACACATTCTCCATTTACTGTACCACCATCTGATAGCAATAAACACGTCTCCAATATATGTTGACCATGGCTGCAACTAATGATTATTTTATTATCAATTAATCTGCAGATTAATTTAGTAGATTAATTAATTTATTGTTTTGGTCTATAAAATGTCAGAAAATAGTTTAAAATGTCCATCCCAGTTTCTCCAAGTCCCAAGTGACTTTCAGTGTCTTGATTTGTCAGTCCTAAACCCAGATATTCTATTTCATATGATATAAAACAGAAAAACACAGGAAAGCTCCATATATGAGAGGCAAAAAAAAAACAGCAGTAAAAATTACTTTAACAATTAATGGATTATCAAAATAGTTGGGGATTATTTAACCAATTAGTTGACTAATTGTTGTAGCTCTTATGTTGACGTAATCTTGTTCAAGTATAGACTGATGCACACAGTGACTGTAAAATAAAAAAACAAATGAAATTGGTGATGTTCACAAAATAGCCACTGTAAATCCTGAGGGGTCAGTTTGTCTTGTAGGGGATCTTCACTATTACAGCATTCTTAGTTGCTAGTGAATATTCCCATTGTGTTGAGTTAATGCCTCATAGATG